ACACACGTACATACGCGCGCGCGCGTATGTAAGAAACACAAAGAACATTAGCTCAGTCACATCCAATGAAAATGTACACCTCATTCTATTGGAAATATTCGGCAAATTTATGCCTGCAAATTTATGCTGGCAAATTAATCGGTACGATCCGGTACGGTAAGGTACGGTCATCAAAACGGTACGATAAACCGCTGACGTCAAAATCCATTTTCTACGTTTAATTCAAATTGCTGCTGATGTTGATAAAAAAAAACACCTGTCTATGAAGATGCGGTACGCCTCGTCATGATCTAGTCGATATTTTCCTGAAAACATGGCGGCCAGCAACGAATCCGGATAGCGTCGAAGAGTGCATAACCGTGTCGTGTACAGTTTGCCACCGACGTTCAGATCCACTACACTTGGCAGCTAGCGATGTCAATAAAAGAACGAACGTTTTTTTTAAATGCCTGCCATTTTTCCTTGTATTACGGTATAATCATGGTAGCTTGTATGCACAAATCATCTTCCTACATTGGATTTTATTATTTTAATCAATAATTACTTTAAAATATAATAGCCTCGATACATTACAGACAAACGCACACTAGACCCTCTCTATAATCACTACGCAAACCCAATCATGAATTTAATTAAAAAGAACAATAATGATAATTTTCCCATTCCGCCAGCAGACAAGTAGGAGCATCACCCGCTGTAGAATGGTCGCATTACGCTTCGACATACCTTCTGCTTGTTGAGATCGTCGGATTTGTTTTTCATGTTTCCGGATAAGTATCGTGGCGTCACAGCTTGGAAGAAATAATTGTAAGGATCGGCGCACGGTCGGAAGTACGCGCGAATGAATGAATGTATGTAATTATGTATGTATAAGAACCTATTTATAAGAAAACGCGCTAAGTAAAGTGAGTCGTGCGTACTGCTAAGTAAGCGTTACGGGTTTGTTTATCTGCTTAGGAAGGTTCTATGAACTATCGAGGCGCGCATATCAACAGCAAACTTCAACCTGTCACTCCATTTAGAGTACGACCATGTTAGACTGCCACCTATGCCTACCAGCTTTTTGTACGATGTTGATACCTTAGTGTATGGTTTGTAAGATTGACACGCTTCTTGTCTACAGTGCTTAGTTGACCATAGAACATTGATCTTTGTTCTACGCGTGGCACCACACCGATGGCGCAGTTAGAAACGTGTAAATATTCCAGATACATATCGCCTCATCTGTCGTACGAAATGTACGTAATTGTTTAGGTTGGCCTAAGTACTACTTGCATATAGGGGGAGGATGTTAGGGATATAACCATGTTGATTAGTATTGATTGATTAATTGATTGATTAATTGATTGATTGATTGATTATTGATTGATTGATTAATTGATTAACCATTGTTGATTAATATTTACCCCGTACAGACTACAAAATTTATTCCACATTAAACTAGTCCGGGTGAGTTGTGTCAATAGAATCGAGAATAACCAGTTTGCGGTATACAATCATGGCTTAACACATCGGTGTAGTATTTCGCAAACTATTTTTTTTGGCGCGCGTCTTTTTAAGTCTAACGACTAGGGCCATAACCCGGGAAACCCTTCCGGCGCCAACGTTGTTGTATGCAAATCATTAACAAGTCGCTGGGCTCAAAAAATAAGAAGGTGCGTCTACAAATAAAGCTAATCTCAAAAATTTGTAAGTGGACTCCTACATCCCATGTAAACTCTTCACAAGCTAGAGAATATATATGTATGTATGTGTGCCTGCGTGCGTGCGTGCGTGCGTGCATGCGTGCATGCGTGCGTGTGCCCGCGCGCATGTGTGTGTGTGTGTGTGTGTGTGTACGCGTACGTGCGAGCGTAAGTACGCGCGTGCGTGCGTGCGTGCGGGCGTGCGTGCGGGCGCGCGTATGCTTCAGTCGGTTGTTCGTTCATTCAATCTAGCTGTTGCGGGTTATTGATCGCAGTTCGCTTTCTCTCTCACTTCCTCCCTCCCTCCCTCTATCCCCCCCCCTCTGTCTCTGTCTCTTTTTCTCTTTCTCTCTCTTTCTCTCTCTCTCTCTCTCTCTCTCTTTCTTTCTCTCTCTCGCGCGCGCTCTCCCTCT